TTCATAAAATTTATAAAGTAAATTTACATTTACTTTAGAAAAGAGAATTATCTTTAGTCCAAGATCATGGCTGGCCTATTCCAGAATGGAACTGTGGTGAAGACAGCTGGGTTTACCTTGCTGTCTCCAAGGACTGTAATGATGGGGATGCCTAAATTCTTTACATGTTGCTTGATGTTTGGGCCCATGGCTACTGCCAGTTGCTGGAGGATATTCAACGTCTGCTGCACCTGAGTGGAAAAGCCAATACTTCATATTAAACCATAAGCAAGCTGTGTTCAAAGTTTTGCAAGTTTGCTGCTATATAGTCAGTGCAGTAGGAGATTTCTGGCCTACTTAAGAGTAAGAAACATCAGCTTATTGAGATGCTACTCTAATTAGTTTGTGAATAATTTTGAGGCTGTGGTCTTTCCTTTTATCATCAGTTCATAAAACCATATTATTAGAATTTTAGACCAGAGTTTATACTACTTTACAATTTTAAAGTAAGGTAAAGCCTAGTTTAAGAAAATTCTAACATAAAAATTCAAATTTAAAAATTAGAAGTTAAGCATGTATGCATATTACAAGCAGTCTTTTTTTCTTTTTTGAGGTCTCACTCTGTTGTCCAGGTTGTACAGTGGTACAATCATGGGTCACTGCAGCCTTGACCTCCTGGGCTCAAGTGATCCTTCTGCCTCTGCCTGCTGAATAGCTGGGACTACCGGCACACACCACCATGTGTGGCTAATATTTAAATTTTTTGTAGAGATAAGATCTCGCTATGTTGCCTAGGTTGGACTTGAACTTCTGGGTGTAAGTCATCCTCCTACCATAGCCTCCCAAAGTGCTAAGATTACAAGAATGGGCCACTGTGCCTGGCCTAATACAAGCAGTTTTATACAAAGACACTTAATACTGGATTCCTACAAAAAGGAAATACTGAGATTCATAAAAATTTGTTAGTAAGCCTGCCATCTACCAATATATCTTAAGATACACGTAATAAAATAAAATATGCTATTTCCACTTCAAAGCAAATAAAGTGATCACTTATTTTTTGCTAGTGAAAGCTGCACTGAAAAGGAAACCCCTGCGGCAAGGGGCGGGAGGGGGCAAAAGAACAGGCGTATGCTCTACGTACCAAGATTTTATTTGAATCATTGAGTCGACCCTTCAAGGCAGTTGGAAGTTCACCTATATTTGGTTGGATAAATTTTGCTTCATTGATAATACCTGCTACTTCATCTAGGCCTTCTTTCCTGATTTTCCAATTCTTGTCACCAATCTTAGATACCAACTCTGAAGTGATCTTATCACTGAAAAACAGAAGACAGAGCCTTTAATTCTAGACTCTAAAAAGAATAATGACATCATGTGAAGTTCCCTTTACTGAATTCAAAAAGAAGGCACCATTAAGAATACCATAAATCAAATAAACCATTTAACAGACTGGATCCTACCTGATCTCTGTCCTTGGCAAAAGGTCAACAACATCATTGCCACTGTCATCTGGTTCATCTCCATCTTCTCCTTCATCTGTACCACTTGTGCTGTGTTTGGAAATCCCTCTGGTTGGAGCAGGTGGACTTTGTCCCTGCATCTACACACAAATGAATGGGTAAGGCCAATAAACTTGATGAACGGTATGAGAGCAAACAAATTAGAGACGGTGCCTGTGTCAAACTTTTTTTTATAATGCCTACTTATGCAGTAGATATTTTAATTCCTAGCTAGATTCCAATTTTGAGACTACACGGCAAAAGGTATTTTTATACAAACCATTTGAAACTGACTTCTTAATCATGACATTGTCTTTTGGTTCAGTACCCAAGACAATACAAAGTATGCCACACTCAGCTGGGCTCGGTGGCTCAGCCTGTAATCCCATGACTTTAGGAGGCTGAGGTGAGTGGATTGCCTGAGCCTGTGGATTCGAGACCCGCCTGAGCAACTTGGCAAGACCTCATCTCTACAATAAATCAAAGATTAGCCGGGCGTGGTAGCAAGCACCTGTAGTTCCAACTACTTGGAAGGCTGAGGCGGAAGGATCGCCGGAGCCCAGCAGGTCAAGGCTGTGGTGGCCGGGAGCGGCCACTGCACTCCAGTCTGGGCGACAGAGTGAGACTCCAACTCAAAACAACAACAACGAAAAAACAACTCTCTAAGGTGCTTGCTAGTGCTGTACTGAGCGCTGAGATTGAGACTAGGGAGATTTGGAAGCTTGGGGTGGGGCCTTGTAGGGCAAACCCTTCCCCTAACTCCAAGCTACCCTGGTTTCCTGAAGGAATAGGGTACTTGGGAGGCTGAGAGAGCCAAGAGGGCACTGGGCTTTTTTGAGCAAAGAGAAGCCTTGGTTCTCTGTACTGTCTAGTCTCTAGGCCTAGGGACCCACAGGATAATCCTTACCCCCCATCTATTTTCAGTTCTGCTACACACACACACACACACACACACACACACACACACACACGCCCTACCACCACCACCACCACCGCTGTTCTCAGCACAGAAACACAGCCTCTCAGATGAAAAGGGCAGCTGCTTTATACCACAAACAAGCCCTCCCACCACAATCCCAGCTGCATTTTCAGATATTCCCGCCTCTCTTTGCATCCCCAGAGCTAAACTATAATGGAATAATTGGAATAAAATATAAAGGAAACTTCCCACCCAGAAAAGCATGAGGAATGAGAGGGTGGTAATGTTTAGACATAAAAGAACACACCCACAATGTCACCCTTACCCTCTGAGCATGGGGCGAATTGGCAAGCCAGTGTATCCTCTTGGGGACATCCTCCCAGCCCCCAACACCTATACACACACTCAGGTCTTTCTCTTGCCATCTTCCTTCCTCTCCACTCAATGTTGGGGCTGGAGCAGGGTCTCACTAGCCTACCATACACAGACCCTGGTCCTCCCCTCATTCTCTAGGGTAGAACGCAGAGATGCCAGAGCCAAGAAGACCTTCTGTGGCCTCCTTCACCCTTGTTTGAAGAGCCAAGTGATGTCTGCTAAGCACTTCGCCAATGAAACCTTGATTCTTCCCTTATAGATAATGGCTATGATTTGAATGTCCCCTCCAAAACTCATGTTGAAACTTAATCACCAATATCGCAGTGCTAAGAGGTGGGGCCTTTGAGAGGTGACAGGATCATGGCTCTGTCCTCATGAATGGATTAATACATTCATGAATTAATAAACCCATGAATTCAAGGATTTATGGTTAATGGATTAATGAGTTGTCATGGGAGGGGAACTGATGGCTTTATAAGAAGGAGAGAGACCTGACCACCTATATCAGCACACTCAGCCCCCTCACTGCATGATGCCCTGCACTGCCGCAGGACTCTGTGGAGTCCCTACCAGCCAGAAGGCCCTCACCAGATGCGGTCCCTCAAGCTTGGACTTCTCAGCCTGCTATAACTATAAAAAACAAATTCCTTTTCTTTATAAATTACTCAGTTTCAGATCTTCTGTTATAAGCAACACAAAACAGACTCAGATACCAAGTCAAGTATAAATCCAATTCTGCAAACATCTAGTCCATGCCAGGCAGCAGACTAGACTAAGGAAATCTACAAAAAATATATAAGCCACTGTCAAAGAATAATTTCTAAAATTCTCTCATGCAAGTATATTTATTTAACTCATTAAATTGAAGTGAGAATGTGAAGAACAAGAACCAATCGAATCAGAAAAGTCATGCACAAGTAAGTTTGTGATGTAGGCACAGCTATCCTATTGGGCAATCATACCATCACTTTTGGAGTTATCTTTTCTCCTGGACAGAAATCATTTGCTTCTCTACTAAGTAAAAGTCACTTGCAACTTATCAATCTATATGTTAACATTCAGCTTCCTAAGGTCTGGCCCCTAAGCAATAATAAACTGAGAGTCCAGCAAAAGTGTGTTCCCCTTGGGAATTAAATATCCTTTGGGTAGGCCTATTAGGCTACAGTATGATGTTGCCAGGACAAACAGTCATCCTACTGCCTATACTTTTTCTTAACACTGGGGTCCCTGCAGTCAAGAGGTTTCCGGTGAGACAAGATTGCCACATAAAATAGAGTTCAACAATCCCAGAAGAATTATTGTCCATTTTGTTAGGTGTGACGACGGCATGGTATTTATGTACAATGTAAATAAATCTTTATCGGTTGAGATACACACTAAATGATCTATAGATAACATTTCACACTGTCTGGGATTTATTTTAAAATATGCCAGGACAAACAAAAGTTGTGAGGGGGATAGATAAAATAAGATAGGCACAATCTCGTTAACAGCTGAAGCGAACTGAGGGGCACATGGGGATTCACAGATTGTTCACTCTACTTTGGGGTATATTCCAATTGTTTTCATACTCATAGTTAAAACAAGACAATATCCTATCTCACATGTGTATTAACTTCTCACACTTATATGATTTACTACTGTGTTCGATGTATGATTTATTGTGTTCACTATTTTTTCTGTCTCCCTTGCTTAGAACATAAACTCCATGGGAGCAGGGTTCTCATCAGCTTCCCTCCCCCACACCTGTCCCCTAAGCACCATATTAGCATTTGACACCTATAGGCGCACAGTAGGTATTGTTAAAGGATTATTTGAAGGCATCCCACAGCTCAGAGCCCAGGAGAAGGGGCCCCTTCCATCCGGCATGACTGAATCTGGTCCTGATGGGTGGGTGGGTTCGGACGGAAGGGGAAGAGAGGGAAGGCAGAGAGGAGCATGAAAACAGGGAGCTGGGCATGTGCCTGTAGTCTCAGCTACTAGTGGGGCTGAGGCAGGAGGATCACTTGAGCCCAGGAGTTCAAGACCAGCCTGAGCAACATAGCGAGATGTCAATTTTTTTTTTCTTTTTTTTTGAGTTGGAGTCTCACTCTGTCGCCCAGACTGGAGTGCAGTGGCCGCTCCCGGCCACCGCAGCCTCGACCTGCTGGGCTCTGGCAATCCTTCCACCTCAGCCTTTCGAGTAGCCAGAATTACACCATGCGCTACCATGCCTGGCTGATTTTTTGATTTATTGTAGAGATGAGGTGTCGCCAAGTTGCCCAGGCAGGTCTTGAACCCGCGGGCTCAGGCAATCCACTCACCTCAGCCTCTCAAGGGACGGGATTACAGGCTGAGAGATGTCATCTCTTAAAAAAACAAAACAAAACAAACAAATGCGGAAGCAAGTCAGGAGGAAGGGGAGGGGGAAAAGGAAGGAAGAAAGAACAGGGTTTTGAGAAGAAGTTGTCAACAGTGTCAAGTTGAAGGGACTGCATAGATGCAGCAGGTAAGAGACCACACTTTTGAAAACTTGGCAGACAAGAGCAAAAGCCTTGGATGATCCAGGAGCCAGCTGAGGTGGGTGAAGGTTTTCGGAGAAGGGCCAAATTGGGCCTGTTTGGAGCCAGGAGGAGGTAGACGTGACCATTCAAGCTGCAGGTGAGACGTAGACCAACAGAGGGTGAAGTCTCGCCAGGGCTCTGGGTTCAGGAGCCAGGGTGGGCACAGAGGCTTCCAGCTGGAGCTGGGGCAGGAACTGCAGCTGTCCAGGGCTGGGTGTCACCAAAGGACAGCTGTGGGGCAGCACCCTGCCCCCACTGCAGGTGCGCCTTTGATGTGGCTCAGGCTGTTGGGCAGAGGAAACCTGAGCTTCCCAGCACAGCCTGCTCCATCAATGCCACCCAGTTTTCAATGCGTCGGCATAAGACATGGACCCAGTGGACCCGTGGCGGGGCAATTGCATTGAAGACAGAGCGGCTGGCAAGAAATCAAGGCTCAGCATTTCAGCCTGAGATGAAAGGGAGCTTTTACCCAGACTCCTATCAATGCACCCACACTCCATCCTCCACTTTCTGGGGAGGGGTCTTCAGGGTGGGGAGTGGGGGTTAGAGATGCCCCTACTTTCTTCTCTATTTCCTCACTTCCCTCTGGGGAAGGACACACAGTGGGGGTGTCTCTAGGGGAGGGGACTGTGGGTGAGGGAGGGGGTCTGTGCTATCTCTGCAGGTTTTCGCTACCCAAGTTTTGCATGCAGGATGAGGGGGGCTCCTGTGAACACATGAGGGATAAACACAGAGAGTACAAAATGTGTTCCCTCAAGCCTGCACAACGCGCCCACCCGCCCCTGTATTTACAGATGTACTCTCTCCAATCACATGTATACTGTGTGTGAGACAGAGAGTGAAAGAAAGAGAAAGGGAGATACTGCTCCATGGCTGCTCCACACAGGACCCTGCCCTTGACCACTGCTCCACTTCAGCCCCGAGACTCACCAAGCGACCCTGAAATCCTGCAAGACTTCCATTCCTCAACCCACGCTGGAAACAGAAAATCAAGAATCCTCTTTTTGAGAACACTCTCTATGTAGGCTTTGAAAGAAAGATACAGCCGGGCGCAAGCCACCGTGCTTGTAATCCCAGCGCTTTGGGAGGCAGAGGCAAGAGGATTGCCTGAGCCCAGGAGTTTGAGACCAGCCTGGGCAACTTGGCGAGACCTC